AGAACCGTAACTCACACATCCCCTCGGGAAACATGAAGAGAGAGTATGTGTGTGACTGTGTGTTCCGAGTGCCTGTCACTCAGGGAGTTTGACATTTTGCCTTAATTGCAAAGCTCCTCCACATTCCACTTCTATTTTGCACTATATAAACCTTTTTTTTCTAGCTTCTGTTGTATATTAATGGTAATAATGAAATAATAAATGATACAGACTCTCAATGCAATGCATTCGCCCCGGGAAGACATCTCCAAGGGCTTTGCAGGATTTTGTTGTAAAGTGTAGTGACTGTGTGTTTTGCAGGCAGCCGATTTTGAACACAGGGACGTCTCTACAAACAGCTTCGAACAGTTTTATCTGTTGGCTAGGACACCGAGAGAGCGAGACAGTGCTGTTAGAGATCTTTAATGTCCGTCCAAGGCACAGATGGGGAGTGAAGTTTAATGACTCCGGCAATGAGATGCTCTCTCTCTACCCAGCGCTTCGCTAGAAAGTCAGCCTGGAGGATCAAACCCACAACTTTCTGACTCGGAGGCGAGAGTATGAGCGACTGAGCCACAGGTTGACACGTTTATCCCAGATCGAGGTGTTAATTGGGAGATGAGAGCTACTAAAGAGATTTTTTCAGCCTGGTTTTAGTCAGGTAATCACTCTGAATTGTTGTAGTGATATGATGACTTGCTATAACTGGAAAGAGGAATGGTTGTGTTCCTTTGTTGGAAAAGTTTTTGGAACGCGAGTTATTCAAGTAGCATTGTGTTATGCATCAGGAGGCCCTTTGCACTAAAGAGTTCTCTTGTATACTTGATCCTGGGGTGCATTACATAAACAAAATTTGTGCTCACGCATTGAACTGCCGGGCATTTCATAACTTGTTTGATGAAGATGCAAATGAGGAAACGGAGTGACTCCTTCATTGCAATGTTTGTTGACTATCAAAGGGGAAAACTCTTGAAAGATTTTTTAATTTAAAAGAAATAGTGCTTATGTTTTGGGAGGAAAAGGAAGAATTTCTTGAAGACTGCAAGCTCCTTCAAGACAAAGACTGGCTCAGTGACCTTGCTTTCTTTATGGATATTGCCAGTCATCTTAACAACCTGAATGCACACTTGCAAGGAAAGGATTGCCTTTTTTCAACTCTGTTTAATTTCGTTTCAGCTTTCAAAACCAAACTTAACTTTTCTTTGAATGATCTGTCTCGAGTAAAACTTGTTCACTTGCAACAGTTAAAAAGTGACAATAATGTCATCATCAATTTAGAAAAATCTCAGAACACAATTTCTTCACAAATTAATTCCTTTGATGCCCGTTTCAAGATTTTAAAGAAGATAAAGACAATATAGCACTTTTCTCTCTTTCAGACATCGAGTTTAAAAATTATTCACCAGAATTGCAGTTGGAAATTTTGGTCCTTAAAAATCATTCAGGCCTACATGGCAAATTCAAAGAACTGTGTGCTTCTCCAGTAAGCTAGGACTTGAAGTTGTTTTGGAAATTCGTCCCTAAGAATGAATTTCCTAAATTGCATGACCATGTTCTTCGATAATATTCAGATCAACCTATAGCTGTGAACAGACCTTTTCCACCATGAATTTCATAAAAGATAAATACCGTTCCAAAATAACAGATGATCACCTTAATACTCTTCTTCTTCTAGTGTGCTCAAAACTGAATCCGAATATTGAAGATATCATGAACAAAAAACAAATTCAGGTTCAGGAAGTGTGGGGCCAAAGGGATGTGGGGGTGGGCAAGGGAAGATGACCGAAGATGCAAATAAAGATGAAGGTCTTAAGACAGGCCTTGAAGGAATTGAGGGAAGTCCCATTCTCTTGATTTTTCCCCACACCAAATATTTGTCAAATTCCTTTTTGACAGCTGCTACAGATTCTATCTCAAACATGCTTTCAGTCGGGTTTCAAAGGGAGAAATTCCACTTAATCTAGATTTACTCTATTTTTTCACATTTTAGACTATTCAGAATTTGCTGAATTCAGTGTTAACTTTAAAACTACTTTTAAATAGATCATAAAATAACGCAGAAAAATGGCTAAAAAGTGAAGACTGTTAAAGGAATTTGTTTAATTCTGCACTGTAAAATGCTAAGAGAATAGAATAAATCTAAACACAGGTCAAAAGTCTCCCCTCCTTGTGTTTTTAGTAATAATGTACAATTTCATATAGTAGCATTCTCCCTCAAAACACACAGTCAATCGACTTTACAATAAATCGTGTGAAGCACTTTGGGACATCCTCCTGACGTGAAAGGTGCAATACCAAATGTAAGAATTATTATTTATTATTATTAATAATTATAAATTTCTAGGAACTGATTCACCTACCAGTGGAAATAATTTATCCCTCACAATTTTAATTGGCATCCCTTTGTCCTCTGCAGCAAGAAAAAAGCTGCTAATCATACGCAAAGGATAATGCCACCCGATTCAAGCCAGCATTTCTCATGCGGGGGCCCATACTCTGACAAACCAACATGGAATGGTCTTTTAATATGAGGATTTTCATCAAATTTAGAAAAGAAGTAGGTCACATTTAGTGTAAAAATCTAGTATTGTAATAATGCAGCCAAGTTACACTCCAAACCGACAGCTCCCCTCCTGTGCTACTAAATAGGTGTCACGGTACAATGTGACACTTCAGTGGAGAAAATGGAGCTAAACTAGAAATCAAATAGCGCTTTGGGACGTCCTCCCGACGTGAAAAGCGCTATATCAAATGCAAGGATTATTAAAATGCAGAGTAACCACTTCATCAACTTCATGGTGTGTGTCCGACACCCCCTCTCCTTTCCGACACTCTGACACTCCCCATCAGTAGATGAGCATGTTTGCAGAAAATTATTATATCCCTATTCTGTTTCTATTTCCAAAAATATAATTGTGCTGAAGCATAAAAACATTAGAATTACAAAAGAAACATTACTTTGGCTCATCTTATTTTAATACAAACACAACCCTCACCACAATCACCAATTGGGATTTTGAACTCATAATATTGGATGATATTCCAGTGCAGTACTGGGGAATGTTGGGTTGTCAGAGGTGCTGTTAAACAAAGCTCACATCTGTACGAGTGAACGTTAAAGATCCCATGGCATTATTTGAAAAGAGAAGGGAGTTTCTCGCTGTATCCTGACAAACAATCTGGTCGTTCACTTCATGACATTTGTGGTACCATGAGCTACCATGTTTGTCTACAAATTCCAACCCTTCACAGAAAAATCATTGCAAGGTTCTTGACAAGATAAGGTACACGATCAAATCAAGTATTGTTATTCGATCAAAAAATGAACAAATTATATTTTCGGTGAGATTCAAACCAACATATTCAACTTTGTACAATTATATTGCAGAACCTGAGCTGTTAAGAACACTGGGCTGCATTAAATTAGAGATTCTCATTGCACAACGACATGATATAATTCAATTATTTTGGAACAGAAAATGTCTTTTGTAATCTGTGTGTGAACATCCAATCCTTTTGTAAATATCTTCCCTTGTCTCAAGTATGTGAAGCGGTGTTTACTATGTGATTTGAGCTGCCGTGTGGATTTGGGGTCAGGTGTGCTACGTGTGCCTGGAGCCAGATGAATTGTAAATCTTCATTCTTATCATGGACTGACAGCGAGAGGTAACAGCTTTATCTCCAGCTAATTCTGACAATAGTTATTACAGTACTTATTACCTGCACTCAAACAGATGGTACCTTTGTAAGTTAATTTGTACAAGTCAGGGTAGCAGTTGTGAACAGAGCTGGTACATTCTGTCTGGGTGATGGCCTATGGTACAAGGAATGTGTTGAAGAAGTGGTCAATTTTATTTGGGGGATTGTTGGCCAAGACACTGGAAAAACTTCCTTCTCTTTTTGAGTAGTGCTATGAGATCCTAAACATCCACCTGAACAAGCAGACTGTGCCTTGGTTTATCATCTCTTCCAGCACCTCTGACAATGAAACACACTCTCTGAACTTCATTGTCAGCCTGGACTATGTGAATTGAAGTGCTGAGAAGGGGCTTGAACCCACAAACTTCCAACTCAGAGACAAGAGTATTACAAACTGAGCCAGGCTGACACACAAGGAGTCTGATAGGGATCGCATGATTTTCCAAGATAGAACTGATGTAAAGGTGTTATTTTTGTCCTAAGCTTGACCTATGAGCCACGCACCATTGCTAAGATTGGAGAATTGGCAGCTCTCGTGCTCCTGGCATACATTCTACTGAGGTTTTGAGCCAATGGTTGGAGAAGGCTGCCACGTGGTTTTGGAGTAACCTCTTTATTCTGACTCTGTGCCCCTGATTGCGACCATCATATGGGGAAAAGTGCAATATTTGATCCTTACTTCATGCCTTTAGAAAAATGATGTGTACATTTAACAATGATTGCAGAATTGTCTATCTTTATGTATATGAATGGAATTAATGGCTTGAATGATCTTTCTCATATCATATTGTTTTAATATTATTCTATTCTATAAAATAGCGCGATGATGAACTCACTGTCTGAAATCCATGTCAATGTCTAAATGTTCTGAAAAGAGCTATAGGCACATGAAACCAATGGGACAAAGCTTAGTGGAACTTTATGGAAAATAAACAGACATAATAAATACGCAACAGCACGTGGACATTACATTCAGAACACTGCAGCATAATTAATAATCAGACACAAATTATTGCAGCATATAACAGATCATTTTAAATATTCATAATAAATTGATTTTTTATTAATTTCACCTCTTCAAAATTATTAGCAATTATTTCCTTTTTTGGCTTCAGATATAAACATGTTGTTATCAACTAAAATAATATTCTTCATGCTTGATATCTGTAAACTCCATCATGAGGCAAACTCCACATTTGTAAAAAAAATTCCTGTGTGGCAGCACGCTCAGCAAATAGAAAGTGTTGCCTTTAAGACTCCCAATGCACAATGAAGTCCTGACTTAAATGAATGGAGTTCATCTCTTTATGCATTGTTCAAATGATTTCATTGATATGTTTGAAAGAACATAATCCATAGGGGTTTTAAACATAGTTTTTAAAGATGGAACAGAGAGTCAAGCAAAACTTTATGTTCCTCCAGCTGTTGCCCCCATGAAGACTGTGTTGATTGGGGGTAGAGATGACACCATGTCCCTCACTTCACCAGGCAGTCTATGTGTGTCCACTGTATCTGGGGAATGGTATTGACCTGAGATGGTATACATGCACTGGGACGATGATGAAGAAATCACACTTTGCATATTCGAAGCTGTTGGAATAAAACACACACACAGATGTTGTATCTTAAAGATCTTTAGATGATAAAGGCCCTTCAACCCATATGATCTTTTTCTTCCTGATTAGCAACCCTACAAATACAACATTAAGCTATTCCTTTTATGAGTGCAGTGCACTGGGTGACAAATTCCACCCGGAATTAATCTTAAATAATTATTTAATTTGGTATAACAGAATTTGGTAGATCAGAAGGTTGTCTCAAAAGGCTTTGCAGGATTTATTATAAAATGTAATAACTGTGTGTTTTGTAGGTGAATGTGGCAGCTAATTTGCACAGAGCAATGAAGAGAATGATTAATTTTATCTGGGGGATTAATCAGAAGATACCAAAAAAAACTCCCTTCTCTTTTCACACAGTGCCATGGGATCTTTAACAGCACCTGAACAAACAGATAGTTTGGTTTAACAACTCATCCAAAGGATGTCACCTCCAACAATGCAGCGCATTGTCATCACTGCATTGGAGTGTCAGCCTAGACGATACGAGTTCAAAGTCCTGTCATGGGGCTTGAATCCACAACCTTCTGACTCAGAGGCGAAAGTGTTGCCAATTAGATTTACACTATTTTCTTAGCATTTGAGTGTGCAGAATTTGCCTTTTCTGAAATGTTCAGGACATACAGCAGTATAAGTCCAGACCTGGGTGAAATTTTCTCCTCCGATCCAATTTGTATCACACTTCTTGGAAACCTATTCCAGCCCCAGCTTCTATAACTGTGCATGCAATATTTCTATCTAACTGAAAAATGTATATGACCTGAAATTAAACATTAGTAAACATCTTTATCTTTACAGTGACTGCAATTTACTGACAAAGGACATCATATGCTACATTAATTTCCTGAAACATATTGACTGTGATATATAATTAACCTTTTTCTATAGAATCCTTGTACATTAATCTACCTGTCACTAGAATTAGACAGAACAATTTGTTTTACAAACAATTTATGGCACAATTGGTGGAAAATTAACCACCGGAATATGATGGATGGATATTAGCTTTGTGCTTATATGATAGGTGCTATTCCAACAAACTTTAAATGTAATTATCAAAGGGAATAAATCTTTTGTTTTGAAAAGGTTTTGTTTTGTTAATCACTACCTTTGGTTTGGTTTTGTGTATATCCCAATCTTGAACCTATATAAACAAATTGGAGCTAATGTCCAATTAAAACTAACTAGCTATTAATAATTAATAGCTAATAAAGCTAATAAAGACCCCTCCAGTTGAATGGGACCAATTCTTAAGAAAGAGATCACTAATCTGACTATGTGCAATTCAGTTTGAAAGCAAATAACAAAATATCCGAATATACAGTAATAGAACAAAGAAGTAGAATTTCTAAAAAAAATTCAGAAGCTATTTAGCTTGGACACAGAATCGAAATTTAAATATTAGAACTTTGTTTTCTTTCTCTTATGAAGCTTAGACCTCACTAATCCTTCTTATTCCACCTTAACTTCTGCACGTACTATTTACATAATTATTCTATGACCTTCGATATGATTAAGGATGTGGTAGTGCAGTATTTAGGGGAGCACAATATAATTAGGCCAAGTCAACATGGCTTTACAAAAGGGAAGTCATGTTTGACAAATCTCATAGAGTTTTTTGAGGATATTTCCAGTAAACTAGATAAGGGTGAATCAGTGGATGTGGTCTATTTGGACTACCAGAAGGCATTCGATAAGGTGCCGCATAAAAAGTTAGTCCAAAAGATAAGGGGCCATGAAAATGGGGGGAGCATATTAATGTGGATTGGGGAATGGTTAACGGGTAGGAAACAAAGAGTAGGGATAAACGGGTCCTTTTCGGATTGGCGGGATGTGACTAGTGGAGTGCCACAAGGATCAGTCCTTGGGCCTCAGCTATTTACCATCTACATCAACGATCTAGATGAGGACATCGAAGTTAATATATCTAAATTCGCGGATGACACAATACTAGGAAAAAGTGTCAACACAGAGGACGACATTAAAAAAATGCAGCGAGACATAGATAGGTTAGGTGATTGGGCAGGTAGGTGGCAGATGAAGTATAATGTAGGGAAGTGCGAAGTCATCCACCTAGGTAGCAAAAACAGTAGAGCGGGTTATTTTTTAGAAGGGGAGAGATTGGATTGTGTTAGCGTCCAGAGGGACTTGGGTGTCCTTGTACACCAATCACAGAAAGATAGTCTGCAGGTGCAGCAAACAATTAGGAAGGCGAACGGTATGTTAACATTCATTATGAAAGGATTAGAGTATAAGAGTAGGGAAGTCTTTCTGCAACTGTATAGGGCCCTGGTGAGACCACACCTGGAATACTGTGTCCAGTTTTGGTCTCCTCATTTAAGGAAGGATGTACTTGCCTTGGAGGGGGTGCAGCGTAGATTTACAAGGTTAGTGCCAGGGATGAAGGGGTTGAGTTACGAGGATAGGCTGACCAATTTGGGCCTATATTCTCTGGAATATAGAAGAATTAGAGGGGATCTTACAGAAACCTATAAGTTTTTCACTCAAAGGGTGATGAATGTATGGAACTCGCTACCCCAAAGGGCTGTTGACGCTCAGTCCTTGAACATATTCAAGACTGAGATAGATAGATTTCTTATTGCAAAAGGGATTAAGGGATATGGGGATAAGGCAGGGTCAGGTTATTAGCTGGAGTTAGATTAGAAGTTCAGCCATGATTGAATGGCGGGACACGGTCGAAGGGCTGAATGGCCTACTCCTGCTCCTACATGCTATGTTATGTTATGTTGCACTGCATATTATTTGAGATAATAGTTTGCAATCATTTGCAAAAATGCTTAGCAATGAAAATTAATCTATGAAGAAATAGCATTAGACAGTCACATCAATTGATAACCTTTTTTTTCCATCTGTCATCTTTACTATTTTATGGTTAATTCTGAATAGCTAGTTCTATTTTTTTTAATTACTAGGAAGTACCAGGAAAAATAAGGCGATAACAATGGGAGAGAAGAAAACTGGAAGTAAAAAAATTGGCAGAGTTTGAAATATATACTGTAACCGGAAACATGCAGATAGTTCAATTTTGTGTTCTGATTCATCAACATACCTACAGGAGCTTGACAGACTAAGGTAGATGAATCTGTGTAGAACGGTACCGCCTGTTTCCTTCCACTGTCGTCTAAAATGTTGAGTGGATCATGGATGTCACTGTAACCAGAAACTGAGCGAATGCTGCTAACACTGCTAATAACAGAAACGTGCTGGTCAATCATGGACCCAAGTCTGTGGGATTCCGGGTAGCTATTATTGCCATATCCTGAGTATCCTGAGATTGAAAAAAAGACAGATCTAATAGAATGAAAGTACATTAGAGAGCCAATTATCCCCACTAATTGGAATTGGCCCCATTGAGTATAAGCACACAAACTGACAATTAAACATCACAGAAAAAATAATTGGCTACAGCACTCACTAAAAAAACTCTCTAACCCTTCAGTAAGGATTAATGGTTCCCCTCCCTGAATGGGTGGGATTAAGAGGCTTCAATCATACTCAGGTTCCACTAACACTGAATCTCATATCTTGCATTTCAATTGCAATTAAAGCTATATTGTCCCAAAGCACATTTGATCATTTTCGTAATGTATTATTTGCCAAAGAGAAACCCCATTTGAAATGGAAGCAGTGTTAGAGGGGTCAGGGTTGCGAAATTCTAAAACACATTCCATTCCTTACTGATCCCCAGAAATCATTAAAGTACGCTTTATTGATTAGAAACTGCGCTGAATGAGTTTAAGAAAATGATTCTCCCCCAGCCTTTTCAGAATCCAAATGGCAACTTTTTAAAAATATATTGAAAAACACATTGTTTTTTTTTCCTATTCATAGCGACTAGATTGGCTTATCCATTTAAAATTATTTTAATTATTTTATGCTAGCATCTGGCCAAACAGCAAAAATTCCTTGTTTTCTGGGGCCCAATTAAAGACATTCCCAAACCTCACCCGTTTAAATTAATTGTGTGAGAGCCAATTCATTTTCTCTCTCCCAATACAGCCCTTTCTGAATTTCACTAGACAGGGCGTAAGGAAAATTTAAGAAGGATAGTTTGATTTTCCTAATGGATTGGCCAAATGGATCACAGTGCAAATTCGAAACAAACTGCTCAGCCACTTCATTAGTGGGGGACCTACAAATCCCAGGAAACAGGACAGCAAATATACCCCACAATCGTTGCTGTTAAATAGACAATTTTAAAAAAGCAGATTTTTTTTCCACTGTGATAGGTGCTGTATCAAATGTATGGATTATTAATTTATTGTTTATGGTTTTATGGTGGAGTCCTGTAGCTCAGTGGTTAGAGCACTTGCCTCGCAAGCGAGAGACTTGGGTTTGATTCCCGGCAAGGTGAAACCTTAGGCAAGTTTCCTTACTCCACACGCCTGATAATAATCCCTCAAGAAAAAAAACAATAATAAATTGGTCACTTGAATCCACGACTGTTTGTGGGACACTGCTGTGTGCAATTGGCTGCTGAGTTTCACCCACAAATATACAGTCAATTCACTTTACAGTGTATTCTGTGAAGTGCTTTGAGACGTCTAGAAACCGTGAAAAGTGCTACATCAAATGCAAGGATTATTATTATTTTAAGCATGAGGAGGTCGTTTTAACATTTAAGATTGTGTAGCATTCTGGAAAAGTCTTAAATTAAGTCTTAATGTAGAAGTTGTTTTTCCACAGTACTGGATTCAGAAATGATCTTCTAGATTAAGATTGATCTCAAGAATTTTTTCAAATTCAGCACAATGAATGTTACGAAAATTGCCTTAAGGCTAAAGCCAATGAGAAATTTCAGGCTTTGTATTCCTAACATTATTATATGAAAGGCAAGGTCATCCTATGTTGGAATAAAATAAAGTTGTATGACTTTATTTTGACTATCAAATACTTTATTACTTACTCTCATTATACACTGAAGTGCTGTTTTAAGTAGTTTGTTGAGCGAGGGTGAGGCAGTGCTGGATCAATGGAACTATCTCTGATTTCCGTCTTTCTCCCCAGTGCCTGATTACCTTTACTTAATTCTTGCCGCTGACAGAGATAAAACCATAAAGAGGCTAGAGATAGTTCAGCTGTCAAAGATTTCATCTTTGTGCCGAGCAAGCCGTAATTATAAAACTGCATTAAATCTTGTCCACAAGGGAACTTGTGAAGAAATAATGAGGTGTAAACATTCTGTCAGGTTTACAAAAAGAATTAGCATTCAAAGAAAATTGTCACCAGGGCTCAGAAAGTCAATTTACAGAATATATTTAGTTTATCCCTGGCATAAAAAATATTAATAATTAGGGTTGTAACAGAGTTACATCTGGAAGTTAATATATTGCCACCTAATGTGGGATATATTCTGTCCAGTGTACTCAATAGATATGTATAGGTTTGTTTGCTCTGAGGTTGTATATTAAATTAAATGGCAAGTGATCTGATAGTTTAAACCTTATAATGTCCTGGTCAACAATCCCCCAAATAAAATTGGTCAATCTCCCAAATAAACGTGGAATCAACAGCTGGAGCAGGTAATTGAGCAGGATAGCACAGCTTTCGGGGAGGGGAAGAAAATCCATCTGAGTCCTGACTTGGCCTTTAGTAAATTATATGTAGTATGGGGGAAAGGCAAGTAAATGAGACTGAAAGGATTGTTCTTAAAAGAAACAGCAAAGAAACGATAGGCCGAATAACTTTCTTCTGTGCTGTAAATTTCTACAATTCTATGGTTCTGTTCACTTCAAGGCTGTTTGTGGGATATTGCTGTGTGCAAATTGCTTGCCACATTCACTACATAATACAGTCATTACAGTCACTACACTTTTGTAGTATATCCTGTAAAATGTTTCAGACACCCGCCTGATAATAAAGGTTACATCAACTGTAAGAATTATTCTGCCCATTAAGCAAGGAGGCCCAAATTCAAGTCCCACTCCTGACTGACAGCATGCTCCTTCCAGATTTATAACTGCGTGCTGTAAAGACAAGCTCTTGACACCCCAAATTGTTCATGATTTTAGTCTTAAATTGCTCTTGGTCATACCCTAGTAATTTTTTTTAAGAACTTTAGAAAAACGGCTTCAAAATTAAACCTAAATCTAGAAATTTTACAAAATTGTGGAAGATGTTAAATTTTGAGACAATGGTCTTAAAGCTGAGAATTTAAATTGAATGGTTTTGCAGCTGCCGTGTTTCGCCCAGAAATTACAGTCACTACGCTTTACAATCTATTCTGTGAAGCACTTTGAGGTGTCTCCAAGACGTGATAAGACGCTATATCAAATGCAAGTAATATTCTTATTCTTATTATTATTCAGGCTTGCAGGCCTCAGATCTTTTGCTGCAACTGAACAGATACTGTTTGCTAATATTTACCATTAGAGCTATTCGAAGGATAGGATGTTCCTTGGCAAGAAGCTGAATTCCCCAGAAAGTTAAAGGTGCCTGGATTCAGCAAATGCATGTTGTGTGCTTCCTGTGGGTTTGAAGATGCCCCAAAGTTAGAGGGAGGTCTGGAGCTATAAGGTGACACGGCACAGCTGCTGCTGAAGTAATCCCTGCAAACTGGTTGTTCATTGAAAGAAGTGTAACGACTGGGGTCCGCTCTGTGCTGGTAGACCGCTGAGGAGGCATGGGTCTGGTTCCTGAACATGGTTTGGTAGTTGGAGCCAGTGCCGTAATAGTTTTGGTTGGGCTGGGACAATGTCTGGTAGAGCGGGTCAGGATACGGGGCACAATGTGTGTGAACGGATAACGCTGAGCTGGCATTCTGAGATCTTACAGCCATTGGTCCTTGGTTGATTACACTTCCTCTGTTGCCCAAAGCAGGAGACATAGGTGGGGTTATCACATGGCCATTATTGTGAGAAAGCTCCATTGGAACTGTAAGACAAAAAACACAGATTATAGGAAATGGAGTACGTGAACTTCCTTTGACTTGGGCCAGTGTCAGACATATTTGCAACAAGTTTGATCCTCCAATCCCAATTCCATTTTTTATTGGACTGGGAGCATAATAGTGAATGCTCAAATGATATGCTAATATTGATATGTATCAGAACACTTTTTAGTGAATATTTTTGATCTAGATAGTGTGAAGGAAAGCAACATACAAAAGTAAAAATAATTAGAATTAGCCTTGCCAACAACATATAGCTTTTCAATCTATGCTTGAAAGCTTGAAACATAATTCTCTATACTGTCAATTTATGGAAACAATGTTGTGCTTTCAAGAAAAATAAAGATGAACAATTCAGAGGTAATAATCCTTTCATTTGATATAGAGTTTTTCATGACGGGAGGATGTCTCAAAGCGTTTCACAAGATTTATTGTAAAATGTGCAGATTGGGAGATTGTTGGCCAGGAGAAGCTCCCTTCTCTTATTCAATAATGCCATGGGATCTTTAACATCCACTTGAACATACAGATAGGACCTTGGTTTAATGTCTCATCTGAACGATGGCACCTCTAATATTGCAACGCTCCACCAGCACTGTATGAGAGTGTAAATCATGAGTTCAAAGTTCAACATGGGGCTTGAACCTACAACCTTCAGTGGCAAGAGTGCTACCAACTGAGCCAGACTAATACCTGCTGATGCTAATTTTAGGGTGGGTCTTGCCTGCATACAATGTCCACATAGAGTTTGATATGGATGTAAGAGGAAGATATTATTATTAATGAACTAACCCCCAGTGCACGCTGGTCTGAATCAGTCTTTGCCCATTTATCAAATTTCTCCCTACTTGTTCTGGTTTTAGGAGCCCCAGCATCTCAAAGCCAGGGCAAGTGGGGAGAATGTTCATAAATGGGCACAATGTTGCTTCTGCGCTCAATGTGCCTATTGTAGTTTTCTCTTAGCGCAAAATATTTAATCTTGTGCATTGTTAAAGAAATTAGGACCATCATTGTATTTTCTTTATAAAAAGGTACACAGGTTTGCAACTTACTGATTTTCCCAGGACACATCCATTTTAGTGATGCTTAACCAGAATGGAGCTATTGATCAAAATATACATCAATTCATCACCGTCAATGTAATTGAAGAATATCTTATCACTCAAAAATGTCAGGAATTTCTATTCTTTTCAGTTGGTATTGACTGACTACTTTGGAAGGCTTATTTTATCCATTATTTGTAGAGTGAGTTAATAATTAATCCAGTGGCAAAATTAAACTTATCTACACTCATAATTTAGTCTGGTTATATGAAACAATAGTGAGGTCTAAATTGCAGGAGGTGCAAAAGGATTCATAACTAACAGTTAGTTCCTGGATGTGTGGCAGGCTCCCAGAGATCAATTCAGATGGCAGCCTCCTAGAACTCAAAATGGAGTTCCGACATTTAAGTGGAATTTCAGAAGGTCAACATTTGGCATTCGTGTGTTATAAATCCTTTTTTAAATCTCGCAATTCAAGTCCCTGTATGAAATTGCTAGAATCCAAATGAGCGTTTCTTTTTATAAAATTTAGGTGATTTACTATATTTGCTGACATCAGATTACTCTCTAAGAAATCTTAGACACTAAAATGTTTAGTCTGCATGCTAAACCCAAACCTTACTTCTGCTAAGAGAAGGGACTTTATATTGGTGTCCTGACCACCATTCCCCTAAATAAAATTGCTCATTTACTTCATGGCTTTTTGTGGGACATTGCTGTGTACAAATTGGCTGCCACATTCACCTACAAATACATAGTCACTACACTTCACAATAAATCTTAAGAAGTGCTTTGATATGGTTCGACAATATGATAAGGTGCTATATTAAATGCAAGAATTGTGTATTATTATATTAATAACATTATCATGTAAAGCTATTCACCCCATCAAACCCATTCCTTCCATAGATCACACGAACCCTATACTATTGGGGAATTCCAACTCACCCACTTTGACCCCTAGAGGAAAGCTTTACCCACAAAATATACAATATATTCTGTAAAGAGCTTTAAGATGTCTCAAAGATGTGATAATGCGCTATATCAAATGCAAGGATTATTATATTATATTTTTGCAAAGATTTTATCTGATTCTCAAAGTCAATCAAGTAAAATATCAGAAGTCATCCATACCCTGATCTCATTTCATATATTGACAACGTTCTATACCCTAGCAGCACAGAAATCATCATGTCCAATGGATCTAATCTTAAAATTGGAGTTAAACTGGTTAGTAATGAATCCAGAAAACATTTCTTCACTTAAAAGGATTGTGAAACTGAATTATTCCAAGTGAACATAAATGCATAATTGCTTAATGTGCTTAAAAAGGAGATAGACAGACACCAAGATACGTACTTGTATATTAAAAGTTTAAGTGATATGCAGAAAAAGCCGGGAAATGGGATTTAACAATGCAAAGATGGCATGATCTAATATAATTCTGGCTCAAAAAGATTACATTTATATATATTTGTTCATCACTACCTGGATACATACTTAAATCTTCTCCAACTTTCCCAACATGAAACGTAACAAATTATTTTTGAGAAAATATTTAATCCATCTTTTGTGGAAGGCTACTCCGCCTGGAATCTATTTCATTTTAATTGCTCTAAACAACAATTGCTCCACTAGATCTCTATTTTCCATACTAAAGATGCAATGAAAAGACCACTGTTTGCAGCAAACTGTGTAAGTAAACTCTCTCTTCCCTCCTCCAGAAAGTATAATGAAATGGGTACAGAGTCAGTAGAATACAACAAGATTTACTGCCATTAGAATAAAGACTGATAACTTGTGACAGCTACAGAGATTATCATTTTTGACCTCAAGGAAGTATTTGTGAAACACTTGTATGTGGACACAATAGGAAATTTGTTTAAGGCCGTTGATATAATCCTAAATTTGTTTGCAAAATATTTTGTCAAAATAAATCTGTCACACTGCATGCCTGCTGGTCAGATTGTGACTAAATAAGTGCAGGCCTGACCCCTTCACCTTTCTGCACTCTGGATAATGACTGCAGAGACTTGTTTCACTGTTGCTGCAATTCTTTTTAATTTTGCACACAAGTGACATGGTTAATATTGTGCTCTGCCAGGAGACCCAAGCAGATGCTTTTTATTGGACATTGTCCATTGCATAAAAGCCAGTTAAAGAGGCAAGTGCAACGTATGAACTAAATTATCTGAATGGATTTAATTGTCTGTTTGTGACTTACTTAATTGTGAACAAAAGAAAGTAAAAAAAGAAGAAAAGGCAAATCATATAGCGCTCTTCATATAGAATAACATCTCGGAGGCTTCATAATGTTGGAGTTAGATGTTGAGCAATGGAGAGCATGGGAGGTGGTGGGTGGGTCGCGAGCTTATCTGGTTGAAGAGCTAGGATTTTAGATGGGACGTAAAGAGAGATGTAGATGTGGAGGGATAAAAGAAGGCAGTTCTAGAGGTTAAGAAAGTAGTAGCTGAAGGCTCAATCGCCCATGGTGACTCAGAGGAAGTGGGGAACATGCAGCAACAACAGCAACAACAACAAAATTACATTTGTATAGTGCCTTTCACGTCAGGAGGACGTCCAAGGCGCTGGACCGACAGAGTTACGGACCCGAGCTGGGGGTCGGGGTGGCGGAGGGTGGAGAGAAGGGGGGGAAATCAAGGAGATTGAAAGCACAGTCGAAGAGGAGGGTCTTGAGGTGAGTCTTGAAGGTGGGGAGGGAGGGAGCGAGACGGAGGGACCGCGGGATGGAGTTCCAGAGAGTGGGTGCTGAGTGGAGGAAGGCCTGTCCGCCAATAGTGGGGTGAGCAAGGCGGGGGAAGTGAAGCAGGCCAGAGCCCGCTGAGCGGAGGGAGCAAACAGGATGATAGAAGGTTAGGAGGTCGGAGAAGTAGGGTGGAGCAAGCCCAAGTTAGCCAAACAGAGGGGGCAAGCAAAGTCAATAGTTTAAATAGAGGAATTCCAGTACACCATTGGCTGTTTGCACTGAAGTAGCCCTTACTAACTTTAATCTCTTGAAGGAGTAGAATAAACACAAGCAAGACTCCTAGAATAAATGGTAGTGCCTCACCCCAAACATTAACCCGTCTTTCTCTTTCAGATACTGATCAATCGGTCATTCAATTACAGCACTCTATACCTCCCACAATAAATTGTTGTGAAATTGCTCCCAACTCATAGTGCAGTGATCTACAGGGCATATAATAATATAATAATATTCCTTGCATTTCATATAGGGCTTTTCACGTCTTCTAGATGTCTCAAAGGACTTCACAGAATATACTGTAAAGTGAATTGATTGTATATTTTGTGGGCAAAATGTGGCAGAATAGCAATGTCCCACAACAGTCATGGTTTGAAGTGATCAATTTATTATTTTTCTTTGAAGGAATTATCCCCCAAAAACAATCCACCAATCGAATAACAACCGGGTTTCTACATACTGTTGGCTAACCAGAGGTGTGTGGAATAAGGAAATTTGCCCAACATTTCGCCCTGCTGGAAATCAAATCCAGGTCTCTCACTTGCGAGACAAGTGCTCTAACCACTGAACTACAGGGCTCCACAGGTATTAAAGACTAATATAGTTATTAAGTGCAAATATATGCACCAAAGAAGAAATTACTGTGATTTAACTATTGTGTACTTATGTAGCATATTTGCAATCAAATGAAGATAATAATAACAGCAATCCTTACATTTGATATAGCAGACACCGGCCTGCTTCAGGTCCCCCGTACTTCCCCCCACCACCATTGGTGGTCTGGCATTCAACATCTGTGCCCCCACACTCTGAAACTCTATCCCACAATACTTCTGACTCACCCCCTCTCTTGACTCCTTCAAGTCCTGTCTAAAGACCTTCCTCTTCGACCGTGCTTTTGGCCACTCTCTCAACCCCACTCACTGTGCCCTGCACCCCTCCTGACCCCAATTCCCAGCTAGGGTCCAAAAAACCCTGACAGTCCAGCATCCTGGAACATCTTTCCAATGTGAAGGAACTTGCTATACAAGTGTAATTTGTTGTTGTGGTGGTTGTTGCCTTTCATGTTGGGATAATGTCTCAAAGGACTTCACAGGATATACTGTAAAGTATTGTGACTGTGTATTTTGTGGACAAATGATAGAATGGTTAAAGGAAAGATTAGTTTAGGGTGAAGTACTTTCAGTGAAAAGCTCTGCTTCAGGTAATCTTTAAAAGCAATGATAACAACTTTCCAATGGAGAGCAATGGGTAAAACCTCTGTCTATAATGAAACGCATCAAAAAACAGGATCACAAGAGAATTTAGAATGGAGAAGGCTTTCCGGCCCATTCAAATGCTTTAGGTTTTAGATTTCACACAAGAAATATATAGCCATTTATAAAAATCAATCCCATAAACTGTAGGTGAGGAATTCAAACCCAGAGAGCTCACTCTACTGTGTAAGAAATCTCCTCTTCCCCATGTCCCCTTTCCTTGATTTGTGATGAGTTAAACAATTGATCTCAGTGCTACTGGTTAGGGAGGGGATAATTAAAAAGCAACCAAGGTTCCTGCTCCTCATCATTACGCAGAGCTTCCTGCTGGAAAAGTGCATTTCTGTCTATAACAAGGACACCATTGGGCTGACCTGTGTCACCTCTCATGTGTATAAGCTGATAAGTAATGACTGGAACTGGTTGCCAGAAAAGCTAGTTGAGATCAGGACATTTAAAAAGTGGCTTGGTGCTGTGTTAGGAGGATGGTAAGGTGGGTTCTGGAGGGATGAAAGGTGAAGGACCTTCCTCATCCAAACCAATCTTATGATGTTGTGTGATCTTCTGAATGCTGATTCTCTATGTTCATAAATGAAGAATGACCACAAGGGCAAGGTACTAGAGGATTAAACTGTGTGTAATTGTCCTCCAGCATTGGTAAGGAAGGGAGAATACTGAAGAAATTATAAATAGAAATCTCTCACATAATAGGAGATATTTGTACTTTAATATAAATTCTCATACTATTATGGAAACACTCTAGGAGCTCTCCACACACAGAGTTGGGAGCCTCTTTACTAATGTCATAGGCAAGATTTAAAAAGGAGCAACTCTACAGCAAGTTTCATCGTTCGATGATTGTCCAGTTCTAGCTGTTAATCAAGAGGTATGTGAAAGAGGAAAATCTAATCCTAATTAACATGCAGCAGTAAAATAAGCCAAACTGATAATGAAGTACAAGGCAGTGGTCGTAGGTCAAGGTAGTGGTTACTTTATAAACAGTCTCCAAGGCCATTATGTTATTAGGTAGAGTAAGTAAGACCAGGGCCAAGGAAACACTTTAGGACAAATAAACTGCACAATTAAATTGAGGTGAGAAATTGCACCTGAACAGTATGGTACAGTTGAATTCTTTACTCAATCATCATATTGAAAACAAAATTGTGAAATTAATATGGGAGCAAATCAATACTTGTATAGTTTGCAAGATATTAAAGTCAAAGGAGGGTTCTGCTCTGTTCACAAGTTCATCTTTTTACGTGCACCCTAGTCACTCTGTTCACTACAAACACCAAATTTGTCACTGCATATAAATACAATAACAAATGTTTATTTCATTTCTAATTCTTAGAAGTTTATTTCTGTTCCAAAGTGCAAGTATAGTGTGAAGCCCCGGTTTAAGGTAGTTGTCAAGGTCCATAAAATCCCAACATATCTTATAATAATGTGTGCCAGCCTGGCTCAGCTAAATAAAAGTTCCAACTTCTGGGTCATGTATGTACTAAAAAATTAAGTAAATTTGAAAACATAGATGTTATTAAATGCTTTTAAAAATATATCCAAAAATTGTCACCAAATCATTTCTTGTGTTTTATGCATGTCTATCACATAAAGTAACAATGGTGGCAGCCTAATGACTTGGATGGCAGCCTAATGAAATTACCCACAAGAGGTGTCCAACATATTTTTCATGATTGTGTAAAGCCTTGTTTAATGTCACAATGCTCTACATTCTTACCTGTCATTTGAAGATTGTTGTTTTCAGTACTTGAAAATGGAGTCATACTAGAGCCCAGGTTGTGCTGGCCGGCTGATAAAGAGTTATACGTCTGCTCGACCAGAGATTCATTCTTTACCATTGGGTCACTGGACAGCGGCCCACTCTTATTACGGTTTGCAAGGAAACAGGAGCTGGGAGATGCTGTGAAGGTTGCTTTACTAGCATCTGTAAAACAGGAAATAATTGGCATAATTCAACAGGGACCAATATATCTTGTTACAAAGCTGTTTCATTGATGAGTCTTTCCCCTCCTCCCCCATACTTATCACAAGGAACACATTAAGATACAATGCAAATTTCACTGAATTGTCTTAAAATTTAAGATCATACAGAATTTTTAAATTTCTTACTTTTGGTCTTTATTTGGAAGCCAGTTTTCTGCAGTTCTTAAAAACTACAAAAATAATGGCTGCCAAAAAACGTAAGCTTTAGACTCTGAGAACTTTCAGGCTTGTGGTGTAGTATTAACCTTAGGTTTGATCTAGTTTCCACCAAGTTAGCTAAACTCAGATTGGGCAATGCCATTATATTTGGGTTGGAATTCCAGTAGATCAAAACTGGACAGTCAGTGTGTAGTTGACGGATCTAAGACTGGTAAATACAGCACAGAGAAACCCATCACCTGGACTGTTTCCATATATGCAATAAGGCAGTTACAATCAATGCTGTTATAGAACCCTTCTGTTGTCCTCTTTGATCCACGTTTTACAAAGAATGTGATGTTAGTTGTATAATATGATGGTCAGACCTAATTTAAAGTACTATATATAGTTTTGGGCACCCCACCTTAGAAAAAATGTACTGACCGTGAAGACCACACAGCATACATTGACTAGAATGATTGAAGATCTAGTTAGGAGTACAGAATAGGCAAATTAGGATTGTATTCCCTGGAACTATGGGTGCGGGGGAACATGTTTGAGGTTTTTAAGATACTAAAGGTGAATTGCCATTATAAATAGAGGAAAGTAGATAAACATTTGTCTAGTAAAGGGAATTGACAGAGTGGATAAGGAGATTCTATGATTGCAGAATCCCGAACAAAAGGGCATAATCTAAAATTTAGAGTTAGACTTGATAGTTGTGAAATCAGAAGACATGTCTTTACTCAGAGAGTTGTGACATTGTGGAATTCAGATCCTCAAAGAACTATTGATGCTGATTCTATGGGAAAGTATTTGAAGGAAGTAGAAAATACTTGTCCAGTAAAGGTATCAGTGGGTACGCAGAAAAGGCAGGCAAATGGTACTGAGTTAAAATGTACAGCAGGCTCCACGCCTGGAATGGCCTACTCCTGGTCCCATGTTCCTCGAGTCCACTGTGTTCAATGACTTTCATTTGTTAGCAAATATTACATTACTTTTTTTTACTATTCATATTCAGAAACAGCGTAAGCAGCAGCCTGTTTGAAGGTAAATTCATCTCTCTATCTAAAGCTATCAAACTTCTAAGGGCATAGGAGAGGGGCGAGACACTGACATTTTGCGTGGGCGAAGATTGACTTGAGCAGCTTCTGAAACCAGTTATGCAGTTGTGTATGTTCCAATTGTTTCCATCAAACCAATGGAAACTGCAGTGTGATTGCAGTGTTATCAGTCAATGCTGATCTGGAGACGTGGTATGAGACTACCTCCTGGAGGTTATCTCTGATCCAAACATGGCATTACCCAACTGTAAATGTAAAATTAATCAGGTTAAAATAATCCTGCACAGACTGTTAAGATTTTGAATCCAGCAAATAGCAGGTCACCACTCGGACTCATCACTACATTAAACCTTAAGTAACATCCTCCAGACATGAAAGGCGCTATACAAATGTAATTTGTTGTTGTTGTGACATTCAAATGCTGGGAAGTTCAGCTTTGTCCTTGCAATTAGATGCAGTGTACAGAGCTCCTGTTTACTTAAAGTGATAGCAATGTGGAGCCAGCAGTGATACTCTAGACTGCCAGCTCATACCACTCAGAAGACACCAACTTAATACATTACCTGTAATATAACTATTTTCTTGCTCAACCACACTGGCTGCTATGAATATTTATTTGTTCTCTTCTATCAAACTTGTCCCTAAATTTATAACAGAGGAATCAGAATCCTTCCTGTCATAAACGTTTATTGGCATCAGGCATCATAGGCAGAGAAGTGGGAAATTTCTGTAAATGTTTGCAATACTTACATCCAACCTGGTGACATTATTATTTCAGATGGACATTTTTATTGTAACATTATGAATATCATTTCTATTTTTCAGCCATTCTGTATCTTGGGGCCCTTCACGTCCTCCGTGGCCTACCAAAGCTATAGTCATTTTACAGACCCTATTGCAGGCTGAACATGGAACGATGATGGAACTGGGGAAATGCAGAATGTTTTATTTTCTGCACGTTTGATTGACTGAAATGAAAAAAGTGTTTGTTTTTCAAAAAATAATCCCTGTCTCCAAAGCAGAATGCAAAAATGGGAAGAAGGAAACTAATATCTTGAGACTTTGAATGGGAACTTTTTAAATGGATTGTCCCTATAGTTAGACAGGCTCTCTACTGACAAACACCTGTTAGGTGAATGCTTAATTCAAAGCATTATGGAGAAGGGAATAATGTATATGTCAGTCTTTCCGCTCCACATTGGTACACTGAGGTGCAAATTAGTTCCCCTTTCAGTGGTATGAACCTAGCATTGAAGTCTGTTTTTTCTACTTAACATGTACCATAACATAGAAGCATTTGTTACTGAGGTTCTTAAGGCATTTTCAGTGATACTACTCTTCACATAAATCCCCTCTCTGCCTCACTCCTGCCTCCAATTTAATTTGGATTTAGCAAAAGGTGGTGACATCACTGCAGATCCTTCCAAGACAAAAGTATAAAATAATAATAATCTTTGCATTTGATACAGTACCTTTCACATCATGAGAACAATACAAAACATTTCACGGGATATAATGTAATGTATAGTAACTGTGCATTTTTGTAGACTTATAGGTGGAGTGATGCAACATTTCCTGAATTAAGAAGTACAGTCTTGACACATTACCTGAGTTTTTCATATATTTGTCCAGCAGATTCTGTAGCTCCTGCTCTTTGTCATTGTTGAACTGTGTCTCTATGGCTAATAGAATGTATTCATCCAGCAGCATTCGGATCAGGTGAAAGGAACCTGGGGGAGGGAGAGTGAGTTATCTCATTGACCATCTGCCCACTTCAAGAAGCAAGTGAAATAAAAATAATTGTCTAACTTCAAATGACCTGCTCCTATTTCAAACAAGGCACCATTTCATTCCTGGGCTTAATCTGCTGTGAGGTCTACCTGCCTCTTACTTAGTTTACTGGCTCAAAGACTGTTTGGCAACTCATTACATGAAAGAAAAACACTGATGAAAGTGGGACAAACCACATTCACAAAGAAGGTACATATTTGTCTTGTAAGCATCTGTTTGTGTGGCCGAACTGTTCTTAAGCCTTATACACCAGTTGTCTTCAGGTTGATGTAAGAGGCTGGTTATAAGAGCATCGGCTGACCATGTAGTTTTCAAAAGGGAACTCAATAAATATCTAAAGAATAGTAAACTACCAGGCTATGAGAAAAGGGCAGGTAAATGGAATATTATGCAGATTTATGCTATTTTAAAGCAGTCAGCTCAATTCGCATGCATCATTTCTATGTATTTCTTGTTTGTTTAATCTCTATATCTTTCAGTCATCAATACATTATATTGATTGGAAGAACTACAGCACTCCTGCATCTATAGACTTCACATAGTCCTCAGGAGACTTTGAACCCAGTGTGACCTCTCAAGACTTACCCTAGTACTTACTTTGATTTAATCCATGGTTCAGACTCATGCATTATGTATCTTTCCCAAAAGCAAATCAGAGGCAAACTGCATCAACTATTTTGACAAGTTTATTAAGAATGCTTGACTTCACAGAATAGGCAATTAGTGAATGTTTCTACATTATACTAATTCACTATAATGTGCACAGAAGAATGCTTTTTATCCCCATGCAACTCTGATGCAGAAGTATGTTACCCTATGTGAAGGTTGCTACATAAACACAAGTTGTTGTTGCTGGTATAACAAAATTAGTGATGCCAGCTTTCAAGAACAAGTCTCTCGCGCAATGTGACTGAACTGGCATCTTGAAGTAAATATGTTTATTCAAAACAATGTGTGTTTATACAGTGCCTTTCACTTGGATAAGATGGGGAGGGAGCCTGAGCTGGGTGAAAGATGCGGTTTAAGCTGAGCTCGGTTTAAGTGAAGTTGCCCAAATGTGCAGTCAAAGAGAAAAAGCACAATTCAAAGTTAAAAAGAGTTAAAAAGAGTGAACACAGGGTGAGACTCAGAGTTAGAGACAGTCAGAAAGAGAGACTAAGAGAGAGAAAAACAAAAATAGAGAGAAGGTGGTATTGTTATACCAGTATGATTCCTGATTATAACATTTTTGGTTGGTACTGTTGCCAATTTGTATTTTACATAACAATTCATTATATGAACTGTTTCCCTTTCCACAGTGGGGCAAGCCCCAATGATATGGGTAGTGGTTGTGGGTATGAACTTGCTACTGTACTTCAACTGCAGGTGTACATTTCGTGCTGTATTCTGAACAAAAGCCAGTTGGACATGGTATAGTCCATGGATAAATCAGGCAGACTGAAGTTACATTGCAGTTATAAAGTTACTCTGGATGGCAGAGCAGCTTTGATATTTTGGATCACAATGTGTATGACTGGAATTCTACAAAGCTGATCAGGTCCTGAGACAACAGGATCTATAACAACAACAAAATTATATTTGTATAGCGCCTTTCATGTCTGCAGGACGTCCAAAGGTGCTGGAAAGTTAGTGCTTCGGACCCAAGCTGGGGGTTGGGATCGTGGAGGATGTTGGGTACGGGGGGATGGGAGAGGAGGAGGGTGACTGAAGGCACAGTCGAAGAGGAGGGTCTTGAGACGGGACTTGAACAAGGCAATGGAGGGGGCGATGTGGAGGGACTGTGGGATGGGGTTCCAGACAGTGGGGGCAGAGTGGCTTAAGGCCAACCTGCCAATGGTAGGGTGAGCAAGGTGGAGGATGTGAAGCAGGTCTGAGCCCGCTGAGCGGAGGGAGCAGGCAGGTTGGTAGGGGTTTAGGAGGTCACAGAGGTAGGGTGGAGCATAGCCATGGAGTGCTTTGAAAGTGAGGACCAGGATCTTGAACTGTATCCTGTGTGTGATGAGAAGCCAGTAGAGTCAAGAGAGTTTGGGGGTAATAGGATCGTGGAGCCTGATATGGGAGAAGACACGGGCTGCAGAGTTCTAGATAAACTGCAGCCTGTGGAGGGAGGAGTTGAGGAGACCGACAACAGGGAATTTGTGTAGTTGAGCCTTGATGTTATGAATGCATGTATGAGGGTCTCGGTGGCCTGCAGTGTGAGACAGTGGTGGAGCTGTGCGATGTTGGGGAGGTGGGGGAAGGCGGAGCGGGTCTTGGCATGGATTTGTCACTGATAGGAGCCAAGCAAGAGGGACTCGGTCTTTTTGACATTCAACTGCATGAAGTTAGCTCTCATCCAGGCTTTGATGTCCGACAGACAGACCGTGAGGATAGCAGGGGTCCTGGAATCAGAGGCAGAGAGGTAGAGTTGGGCAAAAACTTGCCCAAGGTTTTACCCTGCCTGGAATTGAACCCAGGTGTCTCACTTGAAAGGCGAGTGCTCCAGCCACTGAGCTACAGGACACCACATGTGACGGTGCAGGGGCTGGAGGAGAAGCCGCTAGCGACGACAAAGTGGAGCCGGTTCGAGAGCTAAGATTTGAACCAGGCAAAGGGGAGTTCCGCAAAGATTGAGCTGAGAGGAGAGGCGATGTAGGAGGATAGAGTGGTTGACAATGTCGAAGGCAGCAGAGAGGTCAAGGAGGACAAGGAGGCAAAGAGAGCTATGGTCCAGATGTTCAGAATGTCAATCGTGACTTTGGGCAAGGCTGTTTCCATGCTGTAGGCAGCACAAAAACCCGACTGGAGGGGTTCAGAGAGGGAATGGCGGGAGAGGAAAGAGCAAAGCTGGGACACGACGCCTCGTTCCAGGGCCTTGGAGAGGAATGGGAATTTGGAGATTGGGTGATAGCTGGAGAGTAGGGATGGGTCCAGGGAAGGTTTTTTGAGGATGGGGTTGATGACAGCTGTTTTTAGGGGGTGGGAACAGTGCCAATGGATAAGGAGAGGTTGATATGTTCTATTGGACCTTATGGCAGTTGAAGGGTACTTGTTTGAACCTGATCTCAACAAAAATAGAAATAGTTGATTGAGGTTTGGTTTAGCTTGAATAATATCACCACTGATCACATAGATGCTGTTGTTCCTGATATAGCTTAATTCACAATAGGTGTAGGGGGTTGTGAATATAAATACTGACAGACTGAACTTAGTTCAGATCAATGGATCCACAATGAATTCAATCTTGCAATGTAAACAAACTCCAGTGTTTGCTTCTCTTGCTTTGTCCTTCAACAAGCTGTAACAACTAGTACCTGATAAACCTGGTCATCTGATTACATATCATATGCCATAAACCTGCAACGCTTTACCTGGATTATTTGTTACATATATTTATTGTTCACAAACCTTTTACTGTGTATAAAACACATATATGTATACATTTTTATCTGGTTTCTCAACAAGCAATTATATTTCATATATACTTAATAATATAAAAATAAGTAATATGTTCATTACTGGCCAATAGAAAGGAGACAAATTTACAATATATGCAACTATAACTAACCATCCTCAAACATTGAAAACCTGTAAGCTTACCAAAACTTGAGGCGTTGTTGAGAGTAAGGTTGTGCATGACTCTGGCCCCAAAAAAGCTCCATTTCAGAAGAAAATCCTGGGCTCGCTTCTTCAGTGATCTTCCATTTTGTTTACTTGGCTTAGAAAGAAAAGTAAATTAGAAGTTGTTATATCATTAAGACAAGAACAAGAATATACTTATTGTGCACAAACCTTGTATTGTGTATAAAACACAATTATTATTATAAGAACATGACAAATATTCAAACTCTTGTTATATTAATGAATTACGATTAAGGATTAGTTAAGCTAGGGACCTTCAGTCTTAAGAAAAAATAACTCAAAGATCTCATAAAATTTTAAATAGAACTGAAAAAGTAAATCTAGACCGAACTTTAGGATGCATCAAGGAAAACAAGAGGACATAGGTTTAGAGAGGCAAAGGGCAATTTCAGGTCAGGCACCATGAAGCTTTTCCTTACAAAGGCTAATTAATGACTGGAACAGGTTGCCAGGAAAGATGGTGGAGACCAGACTATTTTAAAGAACAGTTTGATGTTATGTTGAAAGGACACTAAGCGACACTAAGCGATTATTCTAGATGGATGAGATCAGATGGGCCGAAAGCCTTCTTCATTCAAAACAATCTTGTTGATTTGTGAATTCTACAAATTAACTCTGTTTATTCTATTTGAATTCTTACACAAAGATTATATGATTAACATAATAATCATTCTTGGATTTGATATAGCATCTTATTACATCGTTGAGACATCTCAAAGCGCTTCACAGGATATATTGTAAGTGGATTGACTGTATTTTGTGGATGAACCACAGCAGCCAGTTTGAGCTCAATAATGTCACACAATCAGCCATGGAGTGAGTGACTAATTTTATTTGTGCGATTGTTGGCCAGAAAACCGGTAGAAACTCCCTTCTTTTTTTTGAATATGGCCATGGGATCTTTAACGTCCACCTGAACAGGCAAACATGACCTTGGTTTTATGTCTTATCCAAAGTACTGATATATAACGTATATTGAATATATATGAAGTACCTTGATAACCCGTTGCTCTACCACTGTATCCAACCACTCAATGAATGACTCCACAGTGGCGTTTTTCTTTAGCAGGTCCTTCAGCTCTTGAAACACTGTAACAGAGTCATCTAGTAGGTAAAAAAGGATAACAGGAGGTTGCTCTAAGTATTTGAAAACTCAAGAGCACCGAAAGATCAAAACCATGACACAGTTCATTCAGATAATTCCTTATGAATACTTTTTGAATTTCTAAATTTAAATCTTATTTTACATTCATACGATTTTATTTAAACATTTGGACTTCCCACATGGATTATAATAGTCTTTTCAGTCCTGTACAAATCACAGAATTAAGTATCGCTACATAAGCATGCTTCACTATGCTGCTATTATTTTCTTTCAGAGTCAAATTGTTGTTATAAAAGAGATAAACATTTTCAAAATACTAGTACAAAACACTCGAGATTTTCATACGAATTAGAAGGTAATAGAAGGGTATGGAAGTGAGAAAGGAATGGGTGGAGACTCATGGGGGGTATAAACCAGTTATGGAGCCAGTGGGGTGGCGGTCGGGGGGGGGGTTCATGACCAATCAAAGTCCAGACATTGTCCACCGACTGACCGTGACAGTGTAGTGGAGATAAGTGGGCCAAATCCTGACCTCAATCTCCCCCCCCATGCCCCAAATCTTTCAACCCTAGACCTGCCCGATATAAGCGCTAGCAACCAGATTGGTTAAGCTGAATGGCCTGTTTCTGTGCTGTACATTCTTTGTAAATCTATGTATATCTCTGACGTTACACCTCGTCTCAGCCTGTGAGGCCATTTTATCTTCAAACTTCAAACATGCAGAATTGTGGAAAACTCAAATTCAGTCTTGATTCAGAAGCTAGTTTTCCACTTTCCAGTTGTAGAAAAAGACAATGTTTTAAATTAAGGCTGAATTTTCATGCATTGAAAGGTGGAGCCTTGACCATTTTTAGTATTAGCTGACTTTTCTTCGTCTAAGTTACTGAACTTTGGTTGTGTACATTGTGCTTGCCTTTGCCCACTGATTTCTGTTTTAGCCCATGGCTACTAAATACAACTGCTGTAATACTACAAAATTAAGTATTGTGTGCTTACAATCAGAATACAGTTCAAAGTCCTGGTCTGTTCCACCCGATACTGTGAGAAGGGCCTGTGAACTGATGCTGTTCAGATCCACCTTTTCAATATCACCCACCATGGAATTCACCACAGTCTGGTCAAACAAGGCAGGCCGGGCAATCTGTGTAAAACAACAGGAAATGAGTTTAATGCAGATGTAAAGAGGGTTGTGCATAACTAACACGTGTAGAGATATTTTGTCGAAGAATTAGCTCAACACCTGCCTGGGCGAGATGCAGAAATGAAGTCTGCCGTTTTAATGATGACACAAATCTTTGTGCGATGGGTAGCTTCTTATCGGAAAGGGCATCTGGGAGATTTTCCAGTGATGTAGATATCCAATGTTCCCAATGTTTGGCGAAATTCCGAATGTCTGCCAGCAAACTAATAAAAACAAATAATGAATCATTTAAGCATGCTTTTGTTTGCATCCTGGAGAACATAATAGTTTAAGAGCTACATAGGCCCAGAATTCTCTTTGCCGCAACTACTATCAAACATTGAAAAAAAANCTATTAGCTGGCATGGTTGCAAAACAGTAACTATAGCTTATATATATTCCCTTTCCAGTGTGCAAAACTTACCTTTCTGGCATTTCTTGCATTGTTGCTGGAATCAACACATCTGTTAGAACCTTGGGGAAACATTGCAGAAAATAATGACTCCATTAATAATATTAATAATAAATAATAATAATAATCCTTGCATTTGATATAACGCTTTCCACATCTTCTAGACGTCTCAAAGCGCTTCACAGAATATGCTGTAAAGTGAGTTGACCGTATATTTGTGGGCGAAACACGGCAGCCAATTGCGTACAGCAGTGTCTCACAAACAGTCATGGGTTGAAAATGACCAATTTATTATTGTTTTGTTTTTTTGGAGGGATTATTATTAGGCGTGTGGAGTAAAGAAACTTGCCCAAGGTTTCGCCCTGCCTGGAATTGAACCCAGGTGTCTCGCTTGAAAGGCGGGTACTCTAACCACTGAGCTACAGGACTCCATTAAAATGAAAGATAATAGAAGTTACTGATCTATGGCAAATACCTCAGTTTTAGTGTTAAATAATGTTTTTTTAAATTAGCCATATTCACAATCCGGGTAAAAATATATATATCCATAACGGGGGGACTTTGCAGCATTTCGTACCACAACCTTTGTGATAATTATGCCAAAGAATGCATTAGAAAATTCTGCTGATTTTTTATTGATTGATAATTAACACAACCCAGATTATGACTCCCCCTCCACCACCACGCACACCCACAATGTTTTTGAGAAGCCCTGAATGTCACAATGCCATCTTGAAAACTTCCACAGCAGGCCTGCTGAGCTCTTAAGTTCTGAAGGCAGAAGTAATAATAATAATAATCTTTGCATTTGATATAGCACCTTATTATGTCTCAAAGCGCTTCACTAAATATATTTAAAGTGAACTGATTGTATATTTTGTGGGTGAAATGCGACAGCAAATTGCACACAGCAGTGTCCCACAAACAGTCGTGGATTGCGTGATCAATTTTTTAAAAAAAGGGATTATCACCAGCGGAAAAACGATCTGCCAAACGACTAACGACCGGGTTCCTACTTACTGCTAGGTAAACAGAGATGTGTGAAGTAAGGAAACTTACCTAAAGTTTCAGCCTGCCTGGAAGTCCTCTCGCTTGTGAGGCGAATGCTCTAACCAATATGCTACAGGACTCCGGAGGAGTATTGTAGAGTGCAGTTGAAGAGAAAACCAACTTAATTCAGTTGGGATTCTTCTGTCCTGACACACACAATGTCAATTTATACCACAGGGTAGTTTTTTCTTGTGGGATTCCACTGGACTGTAACATTTTGTCTAGGTTAAGGGGAAGAGGTGGAATCATGATGGATTTGTTTATTTTGTGTAGCTTTGTGGCAACCTATTTTGTTGTCTACTAAAATTCTAATTTATGAATTTGCTAAATTCCATGTGTAAATCATTTCCTTTAGGCAAAAAGCCATTGTTTCAGCTGTTTTTACGTGATGCCGTTCCTATAGGAAATAGGCAATTATTTATTCCAATGACCTTGTTGAATGCTAAATCTATTTATAGAATACTCACCTTATAGAGTATGGAATCACACACACAAAATATGTCAATGATAACAGGATTCTCCAGCAATGGGAGAAGATGGTCAGGCATCCCTTGCCAGAAGTGCAAGAGGAAGTTCTGAATCTGAAAACCAACACAATAAAATATTTATTGTTCTTAATGAATCCAAATGATTTTTTTAACTTTCTTAGATCTGAAAAAGTGACTATAACATCAATTCTATTTTAATGATCTCACCTCTTCAAAGTTCCCATTGATTGCATTGTCCAGGATGCACTGACAATGAGTTTTGTACATCATTATTAGAGTATCTACCTGTGATTGGGGGAAAAAAGTCTTATAATTCATTTGATTTTCACAATGTTGCTTTTATCTTTGTTCAATCATCTTATACTGGTTTATAACATGAAAGTGATTAAAGTACATTAGAGGAGTGCTACTGAATGAAATCCATTTCCACATTAATCTGATTGGAAAATTGCCTTATAAGATTCATACCTATGGCCAGTCTTTAGCAATAGATGGAAAAAACACTATTGTTTATTACACATACAATAATACATCAAATCTGTTAAGAAACCGTGCATTTTTCACCCATTAGTTTCCAGCAGATCAATATTCAAAAACAATTATAAATTACATTTGAATAGTGCCTTTCACACTGGGAGGATGTCCTAAAGTGCTGGGATGTATAATGGAAGTTGGATTTATACTTTAGTTTACTCATCAAATGAGCACAAGCTAAGGGGTAGAACTCCAAAGGTGTTAATTGTAGAAACAGTGATAGAATTAATTTGCACATTAAAACTGAACTAGCCCAAATTGATATGCTCCTGGAATCATTTCCTCAAGAGTGGTCTGGACTTCAGCGCAACTTGCAAATAACTATAACAAACACAATATAGATTTTTTTTTAAAGTTGGAATAGATTCTGGGCCCCAGAGTTGAGAGGGCAGTATTTCAGCATGCTTCGTTAATTGATCTGACAACTTTACCATATGTAACATGAATAAACGGTAACACAGAAGTTGTTTCTAGTTAAGCTTGTTCACAGTCCTTGTACCTATTTATAAATGAATGGAAGATCTTTTAAGAACATTACCTTTTCCTTTGAAATAGACCCATGAAGAAGAAGATGCTGGGCATTGGGGAACTCTGGTAGCAAGGTTCCCGTTTTTGAACTGAGGGAATATTTCCGAGTGAAACCTCCCTGTTAAAAAAATAAAATTGATTCAGTTACTTTACTGACAATCCATGATTTTTAAACATTGTAGAGGCTTAGAAATAATTCTAAAAGATCTACATGCGCTTTTAGGGTGTGACGATTCCAATATTATTCTAAATTTATAAGCAATATAAAGTACATAGTACATTGCTTAGAAATATAGGTGTCGTTTTCAGTGATGAGATGTCGGTTATTACTTTATATTGCAGCAGTGATTGTGCTGTAGTCATTAATACGTCAATGTAGGTACTATCCAAAAATAACTAAATGGTCAGCACTGGCCGAACAACTGCTAACAATAACTGAGATGGAATGAAATCTCATTCATGCACTCCACATGCATGTTATGAAATGTAAAGGTACATGGAGAGAATTCATCTTATCGGTAACCTATAACTTCTCTATTCACATAAATGAAACATTTTCCCACCAATTTTCTAGCTGCCAAATTTTCTTTATCTGAAAGTGTTGGACTCCTTTTTCCTTTTACTGGCGGAAAGGAGACATTTTTTAACTATATAACTGAATGAGATTATTGACATTTCTCCTAGAGATTCAATTTATACGTTCTCTCTCTCATATATATTTATAGAATTTGATTGGACTTTTCAAAGTGAGGAATTTCAAATATTGGAGAAATTAATCCCCTTTGCAACTCACTTGAATTGGGACCACCCTCAGATTCACTCCCTCTAACCAGAATTAAACTGCAGTTACTGCATTAATGCAACATGAAAAACCACACACATTTACTCAATAACAACAATATAACTGACCAAGTAATCAGTTTTGATAGGAGATAGAATGGATAGTTGGAGACAGAATAGTTATATATATATTGTACAGATTTAAGTAATTTCAAATGTCTTTTAGTCCAAGAACATTCTTCTCCAATGATCGTTTTACAGAGAATTAGAACAACAACTTGCATTTATATCGTGCCCTTCACACACTCACAATGATGAGGTTGGACTCCAAGCAAGTAAGAGGGGGGAGGAAGGAGGGGAAAGGGGAAGAAGGAAATAGCCATAGGTCCATTTGGTATGATTTGAGGTCAGATTTAAAGACAGAAAGAGAGAGGGTGAGATGGAGTGGAAGAGGGAGGGAGCTCCAGAGGTTAGGGGCATAGGATCTTAAAACTCTGCCGTAGACTGTAGAGTGCAGAGGATGGGGCACATGTGGCAAGCCCAAGTTAGCTGAGCAGGGATAAGGCGGAGAAATAGGGAAGAGATTCAGAGAGATAAGGAGGTACCAATGAATGGATGGATGTGTAGGTGACAGAATGATACCGCACAGGAACAGGCTACCCAAACCAACTAAACCATGTCAATGTTTCTACTCCACATGAACCTCCATCTCTCCTACACCCATCTCTTATTTCCTTCTCATGTTTGAGTTAAGTTTCTGCTTAAATATGTTGATGCTTTTTGCTTCATCCACAGTTTGCCGCAGTGAGTTCTACATACTTATCACCCTGTATGGCAACATCTTCCTCCTAAATTCCTTATTAGATCTCATTTAGTACTGCAATAATGATTGCAATATTGTCTTTGAAACTGCAGCTAGGATTATTTTCCCATTACAGAATCACCTGTAATCACTTTCATTACTTCTTAATGACACAATTGAGGGTTTTTGTTCATTTGAACATGGTTAGCCCATGGGCTATTATCCCAACTTGATTTTAGACTGAATTATCTGTTCAATCATGTGTGCGACTTTCAATAGTTACTAATTTATCCAGATAACAAAGTTGCTGACATCTTAAAGTAGTCCATTCTCAATAAAATACAACTGATCTGGAAGATCACAATATCAGCCTGGAAAAAAGAAGGCCCTTCGGCCCATCTGATCACATCCCTCCAGAACACCCACTGTCCCCCCATCACTGCATGAAGCTGCTTTTTAAATGAGTCAAGTGTTCTGGCCTCTATCACCTTTCCTGGCACCCTGTTCCATTGTTGATTACTCCGTACGTAAAGAAAAAACGTCTTGGTATCTGCTCTGAAATTTCCCTTTACAACTCTAAACGTACGTGCTCTTGCTCTAATGTCATAATACATCTTAAAGTATTGATCTGGGTTTCAATCCCATTTAAAAGTTTATACATCTCTATGAGGTCCCCTATGATTAGTCTTCCTTCAAGACTGAAAAGCCCTAATGTGTCTAGTCGCTACTCATAACCTGGGCCAATAGAAAAGTGCAGCTACAATTTTTCAGTGGGATCCGCTTTAATCACTCTTCTCCGCTACAAACACACCCTTCACTACAAACCCGTACAAACACAGTGAGCTCGGAGTCCTGGGACTCTGCACCTGCTGCTGGCTGCTTACTCGATACTGCTACTGTGCGTGGAGTGGCTCATGACGTGCATGTGTGGTACAGCGCATGCAGGAAATGGGTTTCACTAATCCCAATGCACCGTTGTTGAGACTGTCTGTGTGTCTCTCTTCTCGGTGAGTGTGTCTGAGTCTCTCTCCTCTGTATGTGTGTATGTGTGTCTCTGTCTGTGGCTGTGAGTGTGAGTCTCTCTGTGTCTGTGAGAGTGTCTCTCTCTCTCTGTGTCTGTGAGTGAGTGTCTCTCTCTCTGTGTCTGTGAGTGTCTCTCTGTGCCTGTGAGTGTGAGTCTCGTCTGTGTCTGTGAGAGTAGAGTGTCTCTCTCTCTGTGTCTGCGAGTGAGTGTCTCTCTGTGTCTGTGAGTGTGTGTCTGTGAGTAAGTGTGTCTCTCTGTCTGTGAGTGTGTGTCTGTGAGTAAGTGTGTCTCTCTCTGTATTTGTGAGTGTGTGTCTGTGAGTGAGTGTGTCTCTCTGTGTCTGTGAGTGTATGTCTGTGAGTGAGTGTGTCTCTCTTTGTGTCTGTGTGCAGTGGTGGCCAGGATCTCCAGGCCTTCAAATGTAGTGCAGGGTAGAAATAGACCATTCAGCCTTTCGGGCTCTGCTCTGAGTATGACATCTGGGAATCTAAACTCCACTGATTTAACAATATAGCTCAGCATCCCGCTTGCCTTGTTTAATGCTGGCTCACATTATTTTGACATAGTGAGCAATGAGGCAACTAACACCCCTAGATTTCTTTCAGCTTCCCCCTTGGCAAGTTCATGCCCATGGAGAAATTGTATTTCCTATTCTTGGATCCTATATGTACTACGTTGCATTTATCAGTTTTAAACTTCATTTGTCATCTATTGGCCAATGTGTATACCCTTTCCGTTTCTTTTGTAGGACCTTTGCTGCCTCCTCTGATTCCACAGTTCTTCCCAATGTCATGGTATCTGCAAATTTAACTATCTTACACTGGGCCTGTGATTCCAGGGCATTAATGTACACAAGGAAAAGGAGGGGTCCCATTTGACCCAGCTCCGCTTACAAAGAGCCTCTGATTCCTTCCTCTCACCCAATTCTGAATCCACACCCACATCTTGCCCTTGATAACCAGTGACCACAGTTTCCGGAGGAGTCGTGTGGTACTTTGTCAAACAACTTCCTGAATCCTAGATACACTTCATCACGTAGCTTCCTACAGTCAAATTTGATTGTCACCTCCTAAAAATGTTTATGAGATTGGTCAGATAAAACCTACGCTTTCTGAACCCGTCAATTATTAGATTATTTAACAGGAAATCTGTTTTTGAATGGGTCAGGATTCTTCTGTCCTCTGATCACAGTCTGAGCTCACTCAATACAAATATTTGAATGCTTTGAATTGATTTGTTTTACCAGGATGTACACACTTTGTAAATCAAAATATAATTTTAATAGTATTTAATTGCACAAGATATAAAACATATAATTATATAACACACAGAGAAATCTAAAAATAGAGAAGAAATTAAAAACGTCTTCAAAAAATTAAGGATTTTTAAAAAATAATAATCCTTGCATTTGATATAGTGTCTTATCACATCTTTGAGAAGCCGCAAAGCACTTCAAAGATATAGTAAAGCGTTGTGATTGGGTGAATTTTGTGAGCAAAATGGATGAATGGATATGAAAGGTTAGTTAACCACAAAAGTATTTTTGCAGCAGCTTTTTCACCTGATAAAAATTTACTGATAGGCAGTATAAATCAGGTTAAAGTAAGCATAGCTGACTGATACTCATCAAGCTGTACTATCTTTAATATAAAAACAAGAGCAGAGAAGCCTAACTGATACGTGCACAAAGTAGGTACAGATTCAAAGATCAACTTACCCAACCACAGCAATCACAGAGAAGTGAGAGAGCACCACAATATGCTGGATGTACAGATAAGTACTCAGGGAGCAGAGACAGACAGGTCAAGAATAAAGGCTAGCTGGATCTAGAGATAATCACACCACCAGCAAAGAAAAGGACAGAGTAGGAGCAGAGATGCACAAGACACAAATGCTAGAAGCAGTTTATATATCATCAGGTTCAATCATTTGCTTTCCAACATCAGTAAAATTAGTCCCTCTGCCTCGCCCCTCCCTTTCCTCCTTCAAGACCCTTCTCAAGGCCCTCCTCTTTGACCGTGTTTTCGATTCCCCTCCTGCCCTCCACCCTCCTCGATATTGACTCCCACCTCGGGTCTGAAATGCTGACTGTCCAACGCCTTGGGACGTCCTCCCGATGTGAAAGGCGTTATACAAATGTTATTTTGTTGTTGTTGAAAAGTTAAATCTCAAATGTTTTTTTTAAAAACAAATGTCAAACCCAGAATTTCACTAAGATTAAGATTAGGCTGGTCTCTATGAGATGATACAAGGTGACACTGCTATTAAGTGCCTCACTAGAGCATAAGTTGACTTAAAATGCTGGTCTCTTGTGAACCCGTCAATACAGCTGATGTACACTTCTGGCTTCCAGACAGAACAGCTTAACCCTTGCACATTTACACAGCGTGCTGGTCAGTCAGTGATGACCACCAACACCAACAGTCCATTAATGTGCGGCCAACTTGGCAGATTGTGCCAGAAGCCAGATATCACATTATGACTATTTCTTTCACGAACCTATGTTTTTTTTAGATCCGAGAGACTTCATTATAATGGGGTTACCTGGCACGTATTAGGGTTAGCTAAGAGATACGTATTTTAGAATTACAAAACATAGATATGTTTTGGAAACTCAGCCAATCTTTTGGTTGATTTGAGTTTACAAATTTAGCCACAATTTACAAAATCATTTAGACAGCATTACCTTTAAAAAGGCACTCTTAATAACATGCTTGTGGATGACAACCAGGAACAAAAACGTAAATATTCTTAACATAGTGTATTCAGACTTTCAGGCTGTTTCTCTCTGTAAACTATTGGATGTAATGTTTATTGTTTATGTAATTGTAATAACAATCATAATGTAGGTATTTCAGCCAGGAATTTTATTCCCCTGCATTTTGTGACAATTATGTCCTTGTTATTTATATGTTTCAATGTCAGAACATACAAAGTATCTTCTTGTAATTCATCTCTAATGTCAAGCGCACATCATTGATTCTGATCCCTCACCAACATTTTATGGCTGATAACCTTTACAGTTGCAAAGTTACAATACTGGACACTTCTCATGAATGGAAGAAAGAGGGCAACCACAAGATATCAACAGGTGACAAGATATGTAGCTCTGAATGCTTTTTGTGGATCCCTGCACCACCTGATATTCTACATTAAAAAGATTTTTTTTAACTAAATATTGTTTTCAATTTCCATGGCCCAATAAAACTGCAAATGAAGTCAGTGAAGTTTGATTCTTTAACAGATTTAATAGTTAATGTACTGCTCCATGACATCAGTAGGATTAAATTTGGGATTTTATTGCCCATGTTCCTGAAAGAAATATTGTATTTTTCTCAACTTTTTGAAAGAAAGCCAAGAATTACAGGCGCAATATTAACTTTCTAGTCTTGTTCCTTTTTCTTTGTAGTATATATTTACAGTTAATTCACACATATACATCTAATAGCAGTTATGTAGCTGTAATAAAACATACCTCATTCTTTAGCTTGCTTCCAGAAAACCTATGCAGAATGGGGGAACCATATTTCAATAGGTTTATATAATTGAAAACAATTATTCTCATTTGAAGATAATTAAACTAATCTTATCAATTCAGGCAGACTTCATAATAATAATAATAATAATCTTTGCATTTAGTATAGTGGTTTTCATGTTGGGAAGACATCTTCATATGATTTACTTAAAAGTGTAGCAATTATCTAGGTAAACACAGAAGTGAATTTGCACAAAGCAATGTCCCACAAAGTGAATGATCTTCACTCCAACCAAAACAGGCAGACACAACCTTGGTTTAACGTTTCATCCGAATGAGAAGATATGATATGCTATATGGTACACAGAGATATACTTTGTCTCACCTGGGTATTCCACAAGCACATTAAAATATCTCATCCTTGAGAATGTTTATACATCACTAAATCACTCTTCTATATTTAATGTTGTAATCCTGTGTTACGTTATTGAATTTTCTGCACTGTTTTAAAAGAGAATGAAATTCCAAATTTTCATCACATTAATCTCCTCAATAAAACAATAGTGCTTTGTATCTCAGAATGTTTTGATCAACGATCAGCAGAGTTGTGCCAGAAGTTTATTTCAACTTCTTCAATGATTTTCTTTGGCAATATTGCTTTTTATAAGTTACATTTCCAATCAGAGCTCACTTAAAAGCACAGAAATATTGCATTTCTACAGTAATAATCTGCCTGATTCTCAAGTACTCCTAGCAACTCTCAGATCTCAAAGGCATTGCATATCTTTCATCTGGGTTTCTATAGGCCATTCATGCATTATTCCACCCATATCTAAGAATAGGTTTGATTTGCAGTCCAGGAACAGATTGCATTTTGTTTGGTATAATAGTGCACTAATCCTGTTAGCTTTCACCTGGGTAAATACACTTTAGCTATCACAAAACCGACTAATAAACCAAGCCTCTAATTGCACTCATATCAATTTTATGTTGAAAACTATTTTTAACAGAAAATTACAGGGTAAATTACCTTGTCAAGCCTTTTCCGGAGTATACTGAATGATAATACGCACTGCTTTCTTTTATGCCTATTCCATAGTAATGGTACCTGTGATACAGAATCAAAATATTTCGCTTATATTTTGAAGAGTGACAAATGAACAATGAAAAAACTCAACAATGTTCATGGTTGTAAATTGCTTAGAACAATTCATTGGTACATGGTAAGTGTGTTTGTGCGACACTACAATACAACAAATTTACATTTATGTAGCGCCTTTCACATCAGGAGGATGTCCAAAGGAGATTAACAGGACTGGCTTGGCATCGAAGCTGAGGTGTGAGCTGAGAGTGGTGAGAAGAGAAAGATGACTAAAAGCATGGTAAATTCATAAAAGGTGAACAAATAGGATTGTCTTCACAGTGTTTTCAGGAGAGAAAGGCAGAAAGTTATATTTGATTAATAACTGTAATAACTTGTTATCACACAGCCAGATGTCATATCAGTTAAAATTAGTGAGCAAATTACAAGTAATAAATCAAATGATAGCTTCCATGGTCATTCATAAAAAACAGATTTTGACAAGTTCAAAGTCTGAAAAAATATAATTAAAAAGTAACCTGGGATCAAACATTGATAACGCAATCAGAGGGCACATCAAAATGATAGCAATCAGACTTACTTAGAATGTCCTCTTGTTCCTAATCTTCTGGTGGTGAGTAGAGGGAACTTTTGGCGTATTGTCTAAAAACACAAAGGAAGACCTCACATTAAAGATTTGCATTTACTGATAGAAAACAAATCTTGAAATCAATTTACGCCTTTGTAGAATGTCAACTTAAGGACCCAACAACAACACCTTGCACTTATGTTGCACGGGTAGCATTCTGGAGCACTTCAAATAGACTTGGGATATCTTATTCCTTTCAGAAATATAGAGTCCTTAGTTTTAAGATGACATGAACTATAGTAATATCTATACACTCCCGTGGGTTCAACAATAAAAATAAGCAGGGAGAGGTTTTTTTGGTAATGATAAACTATCCAATAATAAACAGTAAGTACATCACTTCAAACAGTGTTTTTTTTTACCTTTCCAAATGTGGCTGCACAGGCTGGATCCAATTTTTCTTTTCTGCAAAAATCTAAATAATGTGCATAGAGGATACACCTGGGCAAACACACGCCCTCACATACGATGTAATTTTCTTCCAACCTGACAAAGAAATTAACAAGTGTCAACCTTGGGTTAGATCAACCCTTCAATGAGCATTATCTGCACTTGAACGCAATTGTTTATCCCTTGTCTCTGGTAAATGGAAGCTGATGATGTGATAGCAACTTGGTTCCAATTCTTGAAATCGGTTCTCTTACTCTATACTTGATGTTTAGCGCTAATAACAAATTTATGTTGTTAACATAATTATTTAAACGTAATCAGGTTCGTTGATTGTTTTATGAAAAAGCATGACACGATTTTATAGAAGAACAGGACGCAGAAAAAATGCCCTAACGGATAATATTTAGAATATAAGAATATAAGATTTAAAACAAAAATCACAGGTTTTTCATTCACTGCACCTTCTCCTCTGATCTCATCTCCCTGTCTGGGGGCTGTTTGCTCACCATTGTAGCGTCAACTGTGTCTGCTTCTTCTTGTCCTTGATGATCTGAGTTATGGTTCTCTTCTGACACTGCTCCTGGTCGTTCAAGATAGTTTTCCCTTCGGAAATATTCCCGTCCTCTTCCTCAGACGATAGAATCTCGTTGCAGTTCTCTGATTCTGGTAGAGACAGGGGACAAGGTGATGGGGACCGGTTGCACAATCATTGGGAAGAGGTTCTGCACAGATTTTCCCTGTTATTGTACTTCACATTTCTAAGGGATCACCGTTTCAGATCAACTACCTAAAGGATCGGAATTTAGTTTGTTTTTTTCACCTTTTCTCTAATTCTGCCAATCCCCCCTGGGAGAAGGGGGGGGGGGGGGAGGGATTTTTGCACAAATTACTACAACAGTTGTAGTAATGCAAATGCACAATTTACTACAACAGTTGTAGTAATGCAACAGATGCAAAATATTGGCCTTTACTTCACAAAAAGCTGCAAATATTGGCACCAGAGGCTCGCATCAGGAAAACACTGGCTGTGAAGGCTTACACACCTGGCATGGGCAAAAATGGGTCAGCGATGATCTGCGATATCATTCAAAGCCTTTACATTTAAAGTCCGCTTTGCTCCGCTTGATGCAGGAAAACCGTGGCAGCAAAGTCAAGTCAACCTATTCCAAGCTGACAGTTTGCCTGAGACTTGCACGGACTCTCTGGTGTCAGCAACGACTGCAATTGCACGGGTTATATTTGAAATGGCTGCAATGCAAACGTCTCCCTTCTATCTAAATGTCCGAGAGATAACCCAAAAAAAAAGGGTCAATTAAAACGGCGTAATTTAGAGACTTTACATGTACAAGGATTATATACATGTCCACATGTATGTGTGTAGCATCATTTCACCAAATGCATATGAATGCATATGAATGCATATCTGCTTTGAATTCGTGGAGCAAATACTTAACAACTCCTTGCGGGACTGGTACGGGATCTGACTTTAAAAAAAAACAAGGTCCCGCTGATGAAAACCTGCTGAATATCAGGGCGGGGAGGGGGGGGGGGGGTAGGGGGGGGAGGGGGTGGGGTAGGGGGGGAGAGTGTGGGGGGGTTAAAAAGCAATGAAACAAATGGGTTTGTTTGCAGACAGACCGTCGCGTGGGTTTGTTTTGGAGTGAAACGAACCTGATTTAATGCCCAAATCAGTGCCGACCTCCACCTCCTCCTCCACCTCCTCCTCCTCGGCACAGCCGGACACACACAGGGACCCCGGGCTCCTCCGCACAGCCTCAGCCTCAGCCTCACGGCGGCCGCCCCCGTCCGCAAACCGAGACAGGCGTCTGCCCATCACAGCCACGTAGGGCTCCTCCCGCAGCCGAGCCGCGGTGATGGGAGCGGCGGGCAGGGGCAGGGCAGGCAGGGGCAGGGGCAGGGCGGGCAGGGGCAGGGCAGGCAGGGGCAGGGCAGCCCGGGGCAGGGCAGCCCGGGGCACGGGCAGCCTCTTCATGGGCATCTTCATGGCGTGTGTGAGTGGCAAAGCCCCGCAAGTCCCTAACCCTTCCCTCACCAGCCCTCAGCAACGCTTACCAGCAATGCCCCTCTCCCACCCCACTCCCTCCCCACTCCCTGCCCTCTCTCCCCCCCCTCCCCTCTCCCCCACCCTCCCCTCCCCCCACTCCTGCCCTCTCTCCCCCCCACTCCCTGCCTCTCTCTCCCCACTCCCTCCCCACTCCCTCCCCACTCCCTGCCCTCTCTCCCCCACCCACTCTCTGCCCTCTCTCCCCCCACTCCCTGCCCTCTCACCCCCCAATCTCTGCCCTCTCTCCCCCCCACTCCCTGCCCTCTCCCCCCCACTCCCTGCCCTCTCTCCCCCACTCCCTGCCCTCTCTGCCCCCACTCCCCACTCCCTGCCCTCTCTCCCCCCCACTCCCTGCCCTCTCTCCCCCCCACTCCCTGCCCTCTCTCCCACTCCCTGCCCTCTCTGCCCCCCACTCTCTGCCCCCCACTCCCTGCCCTCTCTGCCCCCCCACTCCCTGCCCTCTCTGCCCCCACTCCCTGCCCTCTCTGCCCCCCACTCTCTGCCCCCACTCCCTGCCCTCTCTGCCCCCCACTCCCTGCCCTCTATGCCCCCCACTCCCTGCCCTCTCTGCCCCCCACTCTCTGCCCCCACTCCCTGCCCTCTCTGCCCCCCCCCCACTCTCTGCCCCCCACTCCCTGCCCTCTCTGCCCCCCACTCCCTGCCCTCTCTGCCCCCCACTCCCTGCCCTCTCTGCCCCCCACTCCCTGCCCTCTTTCCCACTCTCTGCCCTCTCTGCCCCCCACTCCCTGCCCTCTCTGCCCCCCACTCCCTGCCCTCTCTGCCCCCCACTCCCTGCCCTCTCTGCCCCCCCACTCCCTGCCCTCTCTCCCAAGCTCCCGACTGACACTTCACATCATTCCCCGAATCAGTCCCGGGGGCTGACCCTCCGCACGGAGGGCACTCGCTGGAAGTCGGTCCGAAATCATCACAGTTCGCCACTGGGGCAGAGACAACCGCTTTCCCTTCTCTCGGGCACTTAAACCATCGCAATCCTCAGCCCTCACCAGGGGAGCAAATCAGGTGCTCTGCTCCTCCGGTGCTGTGCTCTGGCGGCCCCTCTCTCTCTCTCTCTCTGTGGTGTGTTTGCAGAGCTGCCAGTGGTGCCAGAGGGCGGTGGGCAGGTGTGGGAGCCGCAGCCTTTTACTGTGAAATGGAGACACCAGAGCATTGCAAATTAAACCCATGGTTACGTCCCGGTGATGAATTAGGTTTACTTATCATTCTGGGGAAAAGGTGGAGAGGCGGATCGAACCCCCACCACACCCCCCCACCCACCCCCCCTCACCCTCCACCTCCCTCACCCTCCTCTCAAAAAAAAAGATCTATTAATCATTAACTGGTCGGAACATTCGTCCACGACTCTGCCGGTGAGATGTGTGTTTATCATTACGTTTTCATATCTTGATCCAACTCATGTCGAACCTATGGCCCAAGGATGGAGGGAGGCACGAACCAATATTTTACTGGCGGCAGCTATTGGATTTATATATACTGCACTTCTCTATGGAAACTGATCACACAAAGACAGAAGCATTTCACACCTAAATGAGCACAGTTTCCCAAACAACTTTTATCACCTGTGATCTGCGTTTAGGATCAATTCCCCATCCCCGCTCATTGATTTTGCTTCACACAGATGCAAAAAAAAAAATGTATGATGACCTTGTTCTCAGTCTATACCCATAGAATTCAATAGCCCGGTACGGGCACTGGGCTGTGCATTTACCCACTGGACTGTTCGGAACTGGAGGCAGAGATTCTTCTCACTCAAGCAATAGAACATTTCCCAGACAGTGGTTTCAATGGCAAGCTATTCGGTTTTAGCTTGTTACCCTTCAACAGTACCCCAACACGCACTTGGGGGTGATCCGAATCCTTGACTCTTTCCAAGCTGCACCTAATACTCTCTGGAATTAAGGAGCAGGGTTTGTCTCTCCGGGGAGGGAGTGCATATTTCATTCCAGACACATTTAGCTGGGGTACATGGATGTTTCGGTCTGGACGCAGTACTCTTAAGCTCGGTGTTGGGTTTCTACATATGTCAGACACCAGCTGAACAAAAAACAAAACAACTTGCAACAGTAGGGCTCTTCAATTGAATAATAGGGTGATTTTAGACTTGAACACTCATTTCAGACAGGGATATGAAATAAACAGCCATCGGAGCTGGTTTTGAAAAAAAGCTATGTACTGTGCTCTGGCCACAGCTATGCTGCCTGCTCCATGATATTAAATCCTCTATTGACTGTAGATTCCTGAAAACCTTCCTTGATGTACACATGAGGGAGAAGGGAATAAAAAGATGTGGGGGGGAGTAATGAGTGGATGGAGACTCATATGGAGTATGAGTCTGAAAATATGAAATTATGACAACTAAGGGTTGTCACAATTTAACATCAAGATCCAATTAATCTGGAGAGGTCTATTGAAGGACCAGTGGATAAAAGCACAGTCTAGTGTCTATAATAAAAATTGCAGGTTCAATTCATGGTCTGTGCTGAGTTAGCTTATCTCAGCCAAGGCAGTGGTTGTGAATGTGCATTTGGCCCTGTGTTAGGTAGGGGAAACACAGCCTGGGTTCCATCTCCAGATCTCTTTCTGGAGTCAGTGGTTAGAAAATGCATGTGCCTGGATGTCAGACGAAGACAGGTTTGGTTAATTTTGATGCCAAAATTGACTATTAAGGCGTACCTGGGACATCCTCCCGACATGAAAGGTGCTATACAAATGTAATCTTGTTGTTGTTGTACACATGAAGAATGGTCTCTTGAGCAAGAAAAATCAAAGCCCTTGGAACCAAGGTCATATGCTATGGTTACATTGCTTTCCACTTTCTCTCTATGATCGCTGCAGGCCTCATTAGAGTGAATAACTTGTCACTCAGCTCTGCAGTCTCACTGGTCCATTGCAAAGAGCAGAGTATCAGGGGAAAAATACACAGTCCATGCATAGTATGTACCAGCCCATGCTTGTACAGTATGCCAGCTTATACATTTCACAGCATGTCAAACCATATGTGCACAGTCTGTCAGCCAATTCATGTATAGCATGTCAGCCCATAATGTGCAGCCTGTCAGCCCATACACACACAGTCTGTCAGATCATATGTACACAGTCCACGCCAGTGCTCACAATAAACTAATTGGCAGGAACTGGAACCACTTCAAGCAGCAGCAGTCAGATAAGCTCTGCTCTGACTTGACCATAATACTCCCTTCCTCTTCTACTCTAGATAAAACATATTTTATAGCATACATATTCCTACATGGAATCACACCCCAGCAGACATAAAGAGCTGAAACATTTTCAGGAGACAAGAAGGACAGACGAAAGTTTGCGAAAAAGTTGGTGGGAGAAAAAGAAATCCAAAATTATACAGATAATGTGGATGTAATGGAAGATTAATGTACAATTACAGTGCAGAGACAGGTATTAGGAATTGGAAGTACTTGCTCTCAAATAAAAGCAGATTAATTTATTAATATCTAATTGGTAAGTAATTCTAATTACAGTATTCATCTCTGGAACTCTATGTTCAAAATATGTCAATTGAGTGGACATGCTTCTGACTGGAAATGCACTATATGCATGAAACTTGTTACCAGAGCTGGGGATACTTTTCAGTGTGTTCATTCTTTGATATTGGTGGAAGTGCAATGTGGCTCTTGATAATCTTTTTACGAATCAGGTGAAATGATGTTTTGTTCAGTCTTTGCTGAACCATAGAAAGGATTTATCATGCTGATCAGAAAAGTCTGCGATCAACCTGTAAACAAACCAAAAATACAATCTACTTCTATTCATAGCATTAATTTGAATGGATCTGCTTCTGACTTGAGAGGCACTATATACATATAATTTGCATTGTATAATTGAACACGCTTTTCTGCTCCATAGATATTGATAAATAATGGGCTCTATTCAAAATTATAGAAATGAATGGAATTATTTCAGTAACATTTGAATATATGTAAGCTGCTGTTTATCTAGAGATATGCACATACAATTCCTTGCAATAATCCGAGCATTATAATGTTCTTTTAAGTGTTCATTAGAATACTGCAACTTAATCGGCTAAAGTGAACCCCCCAGTTTGTTTGAGGACAGTGACATTTAGCTGAGGAAATGGGTTATGTTGAGACATTGTTATGATTTTATACTAGTTTGAAACAAATAGTGCAGAGAGGGAGGAGAAATCTCTATAATCCCAGTGATCAACACTGTTTTACAATTTGTTTTAAACTTGAAACTTAAATACTATATAACAATCTTTAACATGTGTCTGAATAACAGGAATGGACAATATGTCACTTGTCAAACTAACAATAGGGTTGATTATTTGACCTACTATTTGGTCGCTATTACGATCAGATTTTTTCCCAGTTTTGCTGCAGCGACCGTTTCAAAGCTGCTAATTTTTCCCAGCTTTAGAATATAAACTATTGCCTAAAGTAGTGTATGAAAATATATGGTGCAAACATGTGGCATCTTGCCTATCAAATAAAAAGTTTAGGATTCTTTTTGAAAATCAATGTAGATCAATTATTGTGGGAATAGAAACTCTTCGTAGAAAATCTGGTTAATCTGGTCAAAATGCCGCACTGGTCACCGCTGAATGTATTCACTCCGGCCTTCTCTGTGTCCAGTGACTGCATTTTTTTGCCAGAAGGGGCTCCAGGATGTCGATGAGAGGACACAAATTGCGATTGATAGTGGACTCCAGCCTTTCACAAGCAGCTGGAATTGCGCTGTCGATCAGTGAGGAACGG